CCATCCATGGGACTTCAACGCCGCGAATCAACGACGTTACTGTTGCGTCCTCTCATTCCTGGGACCTCAACGCCGCGAATCGACAGAACGGTGGCTCCCTGACAGTCCTACACCGTGCCAAAACACCATTTCTGGGATCAACCATAAGAAACTCAGAAACTGTCGTAAGCTCTTAGAAAGAAAATGCGCGGCCCTACGGCGAGAACCACATGTTGGAAACTGCCCGACCTCCATCCGTGAAGCTGTTGCGAACGTTTCAAGGGAATGGGTGCGGCTCCGGGGCGAGAATCACAGTTCGAGAGCTACCCGCCCTCCAGCCGTGCAGCTCTTGCAAACTCTAAGAACGAATGTGCGCCGCGCTAAGCCGAGAATTTGACTTGAGCAACCGCCCGCCCGCCCGAGCCTGTTGCACACTTTAAATTATCCCGGCAAAGCAACCTAACAGCGATGTGTAGGAGCATATCTGGAAGCATTCCCCTTAAGACTCACATGAGAATCCAGTTGTAGAATTCTGCTGTTCTCGCAGTCGCAGTCGCATTCGCGATGAAAGTCGCAGTGGCAACGGCAGTCGCAGTCACAGCCTCAGCCTCAGCCTGCCTCAGCCTCAGCCTCAGCCTGCCTCAGCCTCAGCCTCAGCCTGCTTCAGCCTCAGCCTCAGTCTGCCTTCAGCCTCGGCCTCAGCCTCCGCCTGCCTCAGCCTCAGCCTGCATGAGCCTCAGCCTCAGCCTCAGCCTGCCTCAGCCTCAGCCTGCCTCAGCCTCAGCCTCAGCCTGCTCAGCCTCAGCCTCAGTCCTTCAGCCTCGGCCTCAGCCTCAGCTGCCTCAGCCTCAGCCTGCATCAGCCTCAGCCTCAGCCTCAGCCTGCCTCAGCATCAGCCTGCCTCAGCCTCAGCCTCAGCCTGCCTCAGCCTCAGCCTCAGCCTGCTTCAGCCTCAGCCTCAGTCTGCCTTCAGCCTCAGCCTCAGCCTCAGCCTGCCTCAGCCTCAGCCTGCCTCAGCCTCAGCCTCAGCCTCAGCCTGCCTCAGCCTGCCTCAGCCTCAGCCTGCCTCAGCCTCAGCCTGCCTCAGCCTCAGCCTCAGCCTCAGCCTCAGCCTCAGCCTGCTTCAGCCTCAGCCTCAGTCTGCCTTCAGCCTCGGCCTCAGCCTCAGCCTGCCTCAGCCTCAGCCTGCATCAGCCTCAGCCTCAGCCTCAGCCTGCCTCAGCATCAGCCTGCCTCAGCCTCAGCCTCAGCCTGCCTCAGCCTCAGCCTCAGCCTGCTTCAGCCTCAGCCTCAGTCTGCCTTCAGCCTCGGCCTCAGCCTCAGCCTGCCTCAGCCTCAGCCTGCATCAGCCTCAGCCTCAGCCTCAGCCTGCCTCAGCATCAGCCTGCTTCAGCCTCAGCCTCAGCCTCAGCCTGCTTCAGCCTGAGCCTCAGTCTGCCTTCAGCCTCGGCCTCAGCCTCAGCCTGCCTCAGCCTCAGCCTCAGCCTGCCTCAGCATTCAAAATGTGGCCCAGGAATGGAGTTCTGGGAACTCGAAGAACACGAAGTGGCCTGCAGTTGGCTCCGGGCATTCAAAATCATGCCCAGGAATGGAGTTCTGGGAACTCGAAGACCACGAAGTGGCCTACAGTTGGGGCATTCAAAATGTGGGCTCGAAGAGCTGGCCTACAGTTGGCTCCGGGCATCCAAAATGTGGCCCGGGAATGGAGTTCTGGGAAGTCGAAGAGCACGAAGTGGCCTACAGTTGGCTCCGGGCATCCAAAATGTGGCCCGGGAATGGAGTTCTGGGAAGTCGAAGAGCACGAAGTGGCCTACAGTTGGCTCCGGGCATTCAAAATGTAGCCCGGGAATGGAGTTCTAGCAGCGCCAAGAGCGATTTTGCGAGGATGTCCCAGGCGATTTGGGCTTCGACGGCAGCCGCCCCGGGTCCCGCCCCGACCCCCCTGAGGAGTCATGATGCTCTCTTTTGACCCTACTAGGAACCTATCAGTCTTCGCTGTTAGGTAAAAAGGAATGTGCTCGGCGCTGGTGCGATAAACACATGTTGACAACCACCAGCCCTACCTCAGTGTAACTCTCGGCGCGGGGGCCCAACGAGCGTGTGGACAGAGGCTATCTCGATATCTCGATATCTTACTTCGGAACGGAGTGCCAATTCGATATCTTGATATCTCGACATCTAGGATATGGGACGGTGGAAACTCGATATACTATACCGAAATATCGATATCTTGATTTCGGGGATCGGGAGCTCGATCTCTCGGGATCCCGAGACTTTGATACACGGGAAAGGAGCCTACACCGAAAGATCGGGGTATCGAGATATCGGAGCAGATCCAAGCTTGTCGACGAGAAGACGGCGAGTCAGACGGGTAAGACGACGAGTAAAACGAGTAACACGATGAGATAGACGACGAGTTCGACGCGATCACTACAACACAGACGACGACGAATACGGCGAGACGACTAGTACGACGAGCACGGCGAGTAAGACGCGTACGACGAAGAAGAAGAAGTCGAGAAAGACAAGTATGACGAACAAGACAACGCGGAAGACGGAATACGATGATTACGACGAGTCAGACGACGAGTACGACGACAAGTACGACGAGAACGTCGAGTAGGCCGACGAGTAAGACGAGTGAGGTGACTGAGACGACGAGCACGACGAGAAAGATGACGAGTAAGACGAAAGTAAGACGAGTGCGAAGAGTAAGACGAGTAAAGCGACAAGTAAGACGAGCGCGACGAGTAAGATGGGTAAGACGACGAGTACGACGAATACGACGAGTAAGACGACGAGTAGGCCGATTACGACGAGTAAGATGAGTACGGCGAGTCAGACGACGAGAACGACGACGAGCAAGACGACGAGAACGACGACGAGTACGATCCTCGAACATCGTCCTCCCTCCGCCTCTGCCCCTCCCAGAAATCTCGACCGCTTCAGAATGGCTCCCGAGAGCATGGAAGAATGTGGAGGAGGGGGAGGGGAAGGTGGAGGAGGAGGAGGAGGGGGCGGAGGAGGAGGAGGAGGAGGAGGAGAAGAAGGAGGAGTAGGAGGAGGAGGAGGACGAGGAGAAGGAGGACGAGGAGGAGGAGGAGGAGACGGACATGGAGGAGGAGGAGGAGGAGGAGGAGGAGGAGGAGGAGGAAGAGGAGGAGGAAGAGGAGGAGGAGGAGAAGGAGGAGGACATGGAGGAGGAAGAGGAGGAGGAAGAGGAGGAGGAGTAGGACATGGAGGAGGACATGGATAAGGAGGAGGAGGAGGAGGAGAAGGAGGAGAAGGAGAGGGCGGACAACCTGGGAGAAGGCCAAGCTCCCCTTGGCCTGGCCCGGCTTCCGTGAGAGGGTCGACGGGGTGTTGGGGGGCTGGCAACCTCCCCTCCACTCCATCCCTCCCCAGGGGACCCAAAACCTCCAAAACGGAGGTTCGGCCTTCATTCTGGAGGCGCCTTCCTCTCTACTCTGGGTGCCCTTCTCCTCCGGGAGGCGGACGATTCGACCTCCCGAACCAAGGCTCGCTGGGCTCGCTGATCCTTGCGTGCTGGCAGGAAAAAGTGCCTCCTGCATGGAGGTCGAACCCTCCTCCTCCTCCTCCACCTCCTCCTCCTGCTGCTGCTGCTCCTCCTCCTCCTCCTCCTCCTCCTCCTCCTCCTCCTTCCTCCTCCTCATCCTCCTCCGCCTCCTCCTCCTCCTCCTCCCTCCTCCTCCTCCTCCCTCCTCCTCCTCCTCCTCCTCCTCATCCTCATCCTCTCCTCCTCCTCATACTCCTCTCTCCTCTCCTCCTCCTCCTCCTCCTCCTCCTCCTCCTCCTCTCCTCCTCCTCCTCCTCCTCCTCCTCCTCCTCCTCCTCTCCTCCCTCCTCCCCTCCTCCTCCTCCTCCTCTCCCCTCCTCCTCTCCTCCTCCTCCTCCCCCTCCTCCTCCTCCTCCTCCTCCTCCTCCTCCTCCTCCTCCTCCTCCTCCTCCGCCTTTTCCACCTCCTCCTTGTGATTTCTCGGGAGGCGCTCAAGCTGGCGGCGTCCAGGAGGGGAGATCGCAAAAATCGTGGCCCGGGGCGCCTGGGCGGCCCAGGCGGAGGCGGGGGGGGGACAAAAAGCGTACTGAAAGAAGAAAGGAGGGGCCATGAAATCCAGGGGGAGGTATCATGAGATGATGCTGCTGCTGATGATGATGCTGACGATGATGGTGCTGATGACGATGATGCTGATGCTGATGATGCTGGTGATGCTGATGATGATGTATGATGATGCTGATGATGATGACGACGAGGAGGAGGAGGAGGAGGAGGAGGAGGAGGAGGAGGAGGAGGAGGAGGAGGACCCGGGCCCGGACCCCCCCCCCACGGTCAGCAACCTCTGCACCGCGTGCCGCGGCGGCGGCCCCGGCGACCTGCTGCGCCTGGCAAGCGATATGGCGTGCCGCTCCGCTCCGCTTGGCGAGAAGCCTGGAAAGGCTCGGACCGCTGATGCCTGGGGACCAGAGCCGGCGGAGCGTCTCGCTGATCCCAAACTCCTGCCCGCAGTCATCACCCTCCTCTTCCCTGACTCCTGATCCGCATTGCCTTGGTGGATTCTCCGGCTTAAACATGTGTCGGAAGTACCTCACGTAGGATGCAAGGAAGGGGGCGGACAATTCCGCCTCAAAGAAGCAAGTCGAACCTTTCCGCAAAAAGTATTGTGGAGGCAACGACGGTGAAGCAGGGCGCAAATCGGCAGATCAAAGGAGCTCGAACAGCAGGGCGGAAATCTACACCCTGTTTACAACATCGCCCGCAGTGGGGCGGCTCCAGAATCATTGGAGGGGGCATCCCCGAACTTGGGTGTTCTCGATCCTCTGGACTCCCGCTGGGCCGCGCGCGTCCTCCGTCGTCTTCGTCGTCCTCGCCATCTTCGCCGTCTTCGCCGTGGTCGTGGTCGTGGTCGTGGTCGTCGTATTCGTCGTCGTCGTCGGCTGCGTCCTCGCGAACCGCGCGCGCCTGTGGCGCCGCAGCCCGCCCCCCCGCCCCCACGCCCTCCCGCCTGTGGAGCGCGCTCGGGGGCGGGGGCTCCGCCCCGAAGACGAGGGCCATGCTCGCGAAGATCGCCTCCCCCCCAGGCTCGCCAACGGTCGAACGCCCATTCCACGTGCATCTCGTCGGCGTCGTGCGCTTGCGTTTCGCACGCTGGTCCAAGAGGCTCCTCGACGGTCTCCGCCGAAAACAGGTGCACACGTCCGAGCGATGCCAAGCCAGACAACGACGACGACGACGACGACGACGACGACGACGACGGCGACGACGACGACGACGACGACGACGACGACGACGACGACGCTGGCGCCTCCCGCTCCAGGGCACTGCAGGCCAGGACTCGAGAGGACTCTCGCGAAGCGCGGGCCTGAGGCCCGAGGTCCAGCTCGGGCTCGGGCTCCGGCTCGCGGCTGTCGGCGCGGGCGTGAACACGGGCTAAAGCCTTCGCCCTCCAGCTCGTCCTCGGTGGCCCGCGTCGGATGGCCAAGCCCGCATCGGATCGTCAAGCCCTCGTCCTCCGACAAGTCCTCTTGTGCCCGCCCCCTCCTCTTCCTCCTCCTCCTCCTGCTTCATCCAATCCTACCTGCCCTCTCCCGCGCCAGGACGGAGGAGTTGGCCAAGGTCCGGGGCCCCCCAACCAGGACATTGCTAATCGGGACTTTGAAATCTCCACCCGAAGAGACTGAAGCATGGAGAACGCGTCGATCCGCGCCTGCACCTTTCTCGCGCGCGTCAGTGTCCTGGTCTGTCAACGTCCCCGGTTGTGGGGCCATGACCCAGGGATACCGTGATTTTTTCAATGCGGGGTCCCCGGAAGTCCCGACCGACTCCCCAGGACCGGCTTTTCATCCTGAATCTTTTTTGACGGTCCCGGGGCCCAGCGAGGGCCCCTAGAGGCCGAAAATTGCGAAGAACCTCCGTCTTGAGTTTTGCAATGCGTCGGATCTCTGGGGAGGTGGCTCGTGTCGCGACGTGCCGGCTTCTGCGCTGGCTTCCGACACCGCGTGGAGCGCTACAAGCCTCGAAGTGGTCGCACCACGTGGGGCATCGGCCGATTGATGGGCCACCGCCAGCGGTCGAACTTGCGCGCCCGCGCAGGGGCAAGACCAGCTAGCATCGAATCGGGAAATCAGGCCGGATCGAAGTGTACCGTGCGGGCGCGGCCGCAAGAAGCCCAACCCTGAACATCCGCGCGCGAGGTGCACCCGAGAGGAGGCCCAGAGCACCTTGAGCGCAGCAGCTTCTTCGACGGCTGCGGGAATTCACCGCGCAGCGCGCGGAGCGAAGAAGCCCAGGATACCCTGACGAAAAGCATATGGTTTCTTCATGCGCGCCCCCCCCTGTCCGTCGGATCGGCTGCGTCGGCACGGAGTCGAAATCGAATCGGATCGGCCACACCCAGATGCACCGCAGCGCCACGCAGGCGTCGGGCCGCATCGGCCAGTGGAGCGTTCGTGCTCCAGCTCGTCCTCTTTTCCCCGCTCCATCCTCTTCCTCCTCCTGCTTCCTTCCTTCCTTCCTTCACTCTGGTTGTGCCCCATTCGCCCTATTCCTCCTCCTCCTCCTCCTCCTCCTCCTCCTCCTCCTCCTCCTCCTCCTCCGCCTCCGCCTCCGCCTCCTCCGCCTCCGCCTCCTCCTCCTCCTCCTCCCCCATTCCTTTCCTCATGTGCATAACTCCTCCCTGTCGCACAAGCGAACGTGTCGTTGGGGCGGGCCAGGCGCTTCGCCCGAGACGTCCTCGCCATCGACGATGCTGAAGCTTGAAAGCATTTAAAAATTTGCAGCGGTTTCACGGGTGGAGGGCTGGTGGTTTCCAGCATGTGGCTCTCGCCCTGGCGCCGCGCATACTCGTCTGATACATGATCAACAGACTCATGGATGGAGGGCGGGCTGTTTTCAACGTGGGGCTCTCGCTGTAAGCGCCGCGCACATTGGTCTGAGAAGCTTACAGCACATTCGCGAATGAAGGGCGGGCCGTTTTCAAAATGCGGCTCTCGCCTTAGCGCCCCAATCGTCTGAAAAGTTTGCAGCAAATTCAAACATGAAAGGCGACTCGTTTCAAAATGTGGCTCTCGCCTTAGTGTCGCGCAAATTCGTGTTGACAGTTTAAACAGGTTTGCAAGGTTGAAATCCCAGGAACGGTGTTCTGGCAAGATTTAGGATTGTCAGGCCGCAGCACTCACGTTGATTCGCGGTGTTGAAGTCCCAAGAATAATGTGTTGGCACGATTTCAGATTGTCAGGACGCAACAGTCACGTCGATTCGCAACGCTGAATTCCTAGGAATTGCGTTTTGGTGCGATTGGGGTTTTTCAAACGATTGTCTTTCAATGGGGCATTTCCCGACATGAAAACAAATTCTTGCACGGTCCTGGAAAGAGGGAACTTGGAGGGAAAATGTATTGCAACATCGCTGGTGCATCTTGGGTTTACACCGGTCCTTCTTCTCCTCCTCCTCCTCCTCCTCCTCCTCCTTCTCCTTCTTCTCCTTCTCTTGCTCCTCCTCCTCCTTCCAATCGTCCAAATGCTCGTCCTCGTCGTCCTCCTCTTTCTTCTTCCCAAAATGTTGCATACGTAGCGGCCAAGTTCAAGGGGAAGACGGCCTCTGCCACAGGCCACCGTGGGCTCGGGAGCCTGCTCGGCGGGCTCGATCCTAAGCGAAACGTGTCCTTGGGCCCCGTGGCTCCGCTACCCTCAGGCTGCACAATCAGTTTGGCGATGCCACTGAAGTGGACTCCAGTGTAGCCTTGTTCTCACACCTTTGATGTGCGCGGCTCCGTGCCGTCCCCGCTGTGATTGATGATGGCGATTCTGAAGATGGTGTTGCTTATGCTTGTGATGTTGTTGCTGTCGACGATGTTGCTGCTGCTGGCAGGGGGGCGAAGGCCACACTCTGATGTCGCATGCCCGGGCCTCTCCGATCAGGGTACACGCCGTTCACTTCTAATCGTGCTCATTTCTAAGTGTGCTCGTTTCTAATTGTTCCTGGCCCCCTAGTGGCCAGGAAGAGGCCCAGGATAGAACAATTAGAAATGAAAGGCTCTTGGCCCCCCAGAAAATCAGAGAACTTTCGAACACTTAAACACGAACCATGTGTAGCCACATCACAGGCGTGCTTCACGCCCGGGTGCGTATCGGCTGCTCCCGCATACTCGCCCTTCTGGCATGTTTTGCGCCACCCTCTTCTTCCAGGGCCTGCCTCCCATTCCGTGCTCCATGCTCCATTCCCCTCCGACTTCCTCTTCCTGCTCCTCCTCCTCCTCCTCCTCGACATCCCCGTCCTGCTCCCTCCCCGCCCCTTCGGAGCGGATGCTGGAGCCAGGGAGCCACATGCACCCCAGGCGCGACGACCCGAGGGCCGAAAAAACAACGGGACCCCGGAGCGCACTCTTTGACTCGCGGCCGTAACGGGCGTTGCGGGCGGGGAGGGAGGCGGGGGGGCGGGGGGACGGGAGGGGGTATCACGTGTACCAGCCCCCACCCCCACCAGATTGTGGTGCCAGGTGCCAGACGCACTGCGGCAGTGCCGGGGACGCACTGATGGGGGGAGCGTTGCGCCATGGGGGGGGGGGAGGGAGCGGGGAGGGGAGGGGACACAGCGCGCGTTACGGCCCAGAGGGTTTTTTTTGTTTAACACCCTCCTGGGTCACCCCATGCGACTAGCGCTCCGCGCGGATGTCTTGGATCCGCGCTGGACCCCCATCCCTGGCGCGCGGAGCGCCCCAGGGGCGGATCCAAGACATCCGCGCGGATCACCAAAAGTTTATGCTTATATGGCGCTTTTACTCCTTCTGGTCGCATGGGGGGATCCAGGAGGGTGTTAAACGAAAAAGAAAACTCTGGACCTTATGTTCATAGATTACGTTTCTTCCCCCTCGAGCGGCCCCGTGCGCAGACGGCGCGCCGCCGGGCCCGAGGAAGCCTCCCGAGAGGAAGCCCCGCGGCCAGCTCTCCACGGGTGGCCCGGCGGCGGCCTCCTCGCCGCCTGCTGCCCTCCCCGCGGCACAGCAGCGAGAGGCCGCACGCGCGCGCGACGGGTACGGGCGATGCCCCGAGCCGCGGAGCGCGCGAGCTCCGAGACGGGCGTGGCCCGCCGCGGACCCGGGGAAGGCCTGGCCGCGCCAGGCACAGAGAGAGGAGGAGGAGGAGGAGGAGGAGGAGGAGGAGGAGGAGGAGGAGGAGGAGCAGGAGGAGGAGGAGGAGGAGGAGGAGGAGGAGGAGGAAAGAGGAGGAGGAGGAGAGGAGGGAGGAGGAGGAGGAGGAGGAGGAGCAGGAAGAGCAGGAAGGAGCAGGAGGAGGAGGAGGAGGAGGGAAAAAGAGAGACCGCCACGCCGACGGACGGCCAGTTCCTGGCGTTGCCCCGCTGTCTGGCCCTGGGCCCGCCGCACCTCCGTCGACTTTCCGACCGAGGAGCGCGTCGGGGATGCACCCGAGGCCATGCGAAGAAGCAAGGCGGAAAAGAAACGCAGGGCGGATAGTTCCGCAAAAGCATGGCGGAAACGGCGAGGGCAACGTAGGGTGGAGATCGGCATCAAAGGAGATCGAAAAAAAGGGCGGGCGTTTTCGCCCCACCAGCGAAGTCGCCCAGAGCGCGGCGGATCCGGAGTCAGGAAAGCGCCACGCTTGGCCGCGCGCACAGGGGGGTATGGGAGCGCAGCACTGAGCACTGCGCAAGCGCTCGTCCCGCGGGGCCAGGCCGACGAGGCGGTGGCACCGCGGCGCCGAGAAACACAAGATTACATGCTGGGGAGCGGGAGAAAGGGGAAGAGCCAGCGGGCCGAGTCTAAAAGAAACGGCATAAACACAAGCTGTCGGCGCTCCGCGCGGATTTCTTGGATCCGCGCCGGACCCCCTCTCTGGCGCGCGAAGCGCGTCAGGGGGCGGCGCCGGAGGTGCCGCTGGGGGGGCCCAGCGCGGATCCAAGAAATCTGCGCGGAGCGCCAAAAATTGATGCGTATGGCGTTTTTGTTTCTCCTTCGTGATTCGCTCATCCTGTCGTTGCCAAGGCCTCGAGGGCTGGGGGGCTCCAGAGAACAGGCTGGCCGGCTGGGCCACTTGGCCAGCTGCGCTCGCACGATTGCTGGGCAAGCATCCCCGCATCGGCTTGCCGGGACTTGCAGCGGGCTCGCGCCGTGACGACTCCGGCACCGGTCCTGCGCCTGGCGAAGCGGCGGATCCTGCGTGGATCGCCCGACCCTGCGAGATCGGCGCCTGGCGAAGCGGCGGATCCTTCAATGCCGACCGACGCTCGGCCACAGCCAGTGCTGCACCGTGGACGCCCACGGCGGGGGTCGCCGCCGCGTCGGCGCAACGCGGGCCTGCCGTGGCCAGCTGCGCTCCCGAGGCTGCCGGGCAGGCCTCCCCGCAGCGGCTGGCCGGAGCCCGCGGCGTGCCCCGCAGGCGCCGGCGCGGAGCCCGCAGCGTGCCCGCGGCACGGGCGGCGTGCGCGCTCCGCCCGCGGCCGCGGGCCGAGGTCGGCCCGCCCGAGGCGGAGGCGAGCAGGCGCCAGCTGTGGTCCTCCGCAGGGCGGCGCTCGCCGCAGGTCGCCCTGCGCGCCCCGCCGCCGCCCGCGCGCGGGGTGCCCTGGCCGCACCGGGTCCGACCTGGTCGCCCATCTGCGGCTCGAGGATGTCCGTATCCATCTCCTCGGGCGGCCCTGGCACATCGGCTCCCCGGGCGGAGGACACCTGCTCGTCAACTCCAGGGCTCGGGGCTGTGGCTCCCCCCCCCCCACACACTTCTGCGATCCTTCACCACGGCTCCACGTGCAGTCACAGCGTGGCGGGGGTCAGTCCTCGAAGCGCGCCTGCCGCACGGCCGCCCCCAGAGGCTTCGGCCGCAGCTCGACAACGGTGTGCATGGGAAGCTCCAGGTGGGGCGTGTCCTGTACGGGGTGGCCCGTGAAGTAGGCGTACAGGCACCTCTGGACGGCCAGGTGGGAGATCACCAGCACCGAACGGCGTTGCCTCTCCAGCTCGATGATGATGGGCCGAAGACGTCCGATAACATCCGCGTAGGACTCGCCCCCGGCGCCAGGGTAGCGGAAGTTTAGCTTGTCCTGCTCTCGCGCCGCCCATATGTCGGGGTGCTCCCTCTGAATCTGCTCGTAGGTCATACCGTTGCAGACGCCCCCATCGAGCTCGTTCAGGAGCGAGGTGCTCATAGCAAGAAAATTGATTCGATCATCGGCCTCATCAGGGATGCTTTTCAAAGCGTTCAGGGTGGCTGCGTGCACAGGTGCCGTGCCAAGCAGCACAAGCACCTCTCTGTCCGAGGTCTCGCCCACCTCAAGCATCTGCCGCTTGCAGTTTCGAAGCATATCCGCCATGAAGCGGCAATACCTGCGACCTTTGGGTGTCAGCTCCTGGCTTACGCTGCCCAGCTTGCCTCTGAGCTGATCTTCGGTTTCGGCATGGCGCGTCAGCCATATACTCCGTTGGGTTATATGGCAATTGCTGAGGTATGATGCAACCTGGCTTGTGAGGTACCCTGTGATACGATGCATGACAACCTTCTGGCCAACATTGAACAGCTTGATGTAGCTAATATTCTCGCCGCACTCCTCGTCCTCCACGGGCTCGTAGACCTCCTCATACTGCCGGACACGCTCAAGGAAATCAGCGCGGGCTTTCTCAGGATCTGTGTTCTGATAGTCGTCGTTGATCAGCTTGAGGCGGTAGTTCTGCTTAAGAATCTCGGGGTCGTCGCAGATGCTCTCCACAAAAACAGGTGTGAGCCCGGTGCCCTTGCCGCACCTTTGAACGATCTTGGCTCTACGCTGCCTGGTGGTGTTGGTGGCGTCGAAGATCGCAGCGCACACGCCCTGCTGCTTCTCCAGCCAACCGATAGCCTCCTCCATGCACTGCGAAGCGATCCTCTCCCGCAGTTCCGACATCTCCTCGTTGTTTTTGTCGAAGAAATCCGCTGCCGCACCTGCCTTGCCCATGTGCCTCCTCAAATTCCCGGCGTTGAATGCTTTGACGGGGAAGCCTGACCACATGAGATAGCGCGTCAACATCTTTACAATGTAAGACTTACCCCGGGCTGGCAGACCGACCATGCAGAGCAGCACCCGGCTGTACTGGCTGTAGCCACCAAGTCCGTAGACCAGCCCTATGTCCGCCAGCTTGTCGTCCGTGCCAGGCGAGCTCTCGGCGCTGGCAACGGGGATGAACGCTGTGCCGCTCGGCGTTACCTGCTGCTCGTACGGCGTGACATCCTCGCCGCTCAGGGGGAACAGATCCTCAATCATCCCCAGCGGCGTATCCTGTCCGCTGGTGAGGGGCAAGTCCGTGGTTCCACTGGCGCTTTTGTCAGCTCGCCATCGGGTCCCACGCTGGGCGGAGGCGCCGCAACCCATTGTGACCAAATGCACGACACGCCTTGCAAGAGGCTGCCGCGCTTGAACCACATTGGCTTGCCCGATACAGCTCCGGAACAAACAACCGTGAATCATGGAGATGATGATGATGATGATGATGATGATGATGATGATGATGATGATGATGATGATGATGATGATGATGATGATGATGATGATGATAATGATGAATATGAATATGAATATGATGATGATGATGATGATGATGATGATGATGATGATGATGATGATGATGATGATGATGATGATAATGATGATGATGATGATGATGATGATGATGATGATGATGATGATGATTGTGGGACGGATTCCCGCTCGCGCGAACCCATTTCAAGTCGCAGAGTTGTTGGTTGGGTCGACGCGCGCAATTGACGTCGTGTCATCTTCTTCTTCTTGTTTTTCTTCCTCCTTCCACGGGCCTCGAACGGACCTCAGGAACATGGCTGGAATCCGCCCTCACTTCCAAAAATTGCCCCAAGATGTCTCAGAAGCCCCAAGAGGTCCCCCGCAGGCCCCGAAGAGAACACCAATAGAGACTCTGGAGACTCATGCTGGCCTCTAACAGGGGCCACACACCAGGAAATCGCTATCTCCCTTCCCTGCGCCGTGGCCCACAACCCTGCGCCTTGACCCACAACCCAGGCACGCTGGCGGGATGGGCCGCACGCCGCTGGATGCTTTTTTCATGCGTATAGCTGCCAGAGCGTCCACACGTGCGCGTAACTTTTGGGATGTTCACACTAGGAATCCCACGCTGTAACATGTCCTCAAGCTGTAGTTACATCCCTCACGGCCGCTATGTGGAAGAGGCCTCAACACATGTCGTAATCTCGGGTATGCTGGTGAGGTGCGCAGGGTGATGACAGCGAGTGACTACAACAAAATGCCAGGTGCCGAGGGAGGAGAGGAATGGATAGGACAGCGGCAAGTAGTTTATTCAACGATACGGTCCACCAACTTCTAAGCCGCACGAGTAGACATACATCATATACATGAACATGCCAACATACCCATCAGACTATATCAGACTTACGGCCTCGAAGTTTGCACCCGCCAGCACACACAAACAGACAGGCCGTCTACACATCTGCGACGACATGTAAGTACACACCTTCGCACGTAGAATCATATATGCACGCGCGCACACTTTTCCTCTGACCCTGTGCTGAGAGAGCACTCGCGGGTACACTCAGTGGTTCATTTTGCCAGTGAGAACTTACGGCCAGACTATGGCGGCGGCGGCGACGCCAGCGGCGAAAACGACGGTGACGGCGACGGAGGCGACGGCGACGGCGGCGACGACGTCGCCAGCGAAGGCTCCGACGACGACGTCAGCGACGACGACGACGATGGCGACTGCCATGGTGGCGACCGCGGCGGCGACGGCGACGCCGCCGGCGAGGGCGACGGCAGCGAAGACGAAAGCGGCGACGGCGACGATCGCGGCGGCGGCGGAGACGGCGACGGCGGCGAAGGCGACATCATACACCTGTTTTCTGCTCGAGCCGCTGAACGCTCGTGCTAGGCAGAAGTGCAGTGATGAAGCGCACGCCGTGGGCTGCTGGAGCGCTCTCGCTCGATTGATTTCCAAAGCTGGAACGCACCCTTGCTTTCGACGAGGGTTGCCGGAACGTCCTCGCTCGCTGCTTTTTCCTCCGGATTAAGCGCTGGAAGCACACTCCGTCTGAGTGTTGTATAAACCAGTGTTCTGATTACATCTTCTTTATGCTATATTTACACAAGACTGCAATGGCGCTTCGCGCCATGCACCTTGGTCCTTGAAATTTGGTATGCAGGCGGAATGGCAGGAAGGTCAAGCCGACAATTTAACGATAACTCCTTGCTATTATTCGTTATCCTTACTCCGTGCTTCTTTTTCCTCATTCTCGCCATACCCTGCGCACTCTCCCCACCCTCCTCACCTCTTTTTGCGGAGGCTCCTCCTTGGAGAGCCTCTGGGGGCCCCACAAATGTTTCAGGCTTTCTTGAAGCCTTCTGGAGGCCTCCTGGGCGTGTTCTGGGGGCCTCTGGGGGCTTCCTGGGGCCTCCCTGCCTCCAACCGCGGTCTCCCTGACAGGGTCACTATTTGGAATGCTTCGGGGGGCGTCTTGGGGCCGTCTTGGGCCGCCATGGGGCTCTCTTAGGGCCATGTTGGACCCCTGTTGTGCCGTTTTGGGGCTCTCTTGGACTGCCTGGAAGCCCTTTCGGATGGTTTTTGGGGCGATTCTGGAGCCTCCCAGGCGGCCTCGGACGCCCAGCCGCCGTCTTGGAGCGTCGGGAACCCGAAAAGAGCAAAAAAAACAGAAATTCACTAAAAACCATAATAAAATCAGTGATTTGTGCCTCTTGGGGCCTTCTTGGGGAGGGCTCTTGGAGGCCTCTTGGGACGTTTTGGAGCTTCTTGGGGGCCGTCGTGGACCGTATTGGGGCTCTCTGGGATCGTTTCGGGAGCGCGCCGGAAAGCCTGGAACCCGTCTGAACCAGTCTGGGGCCGTCTTCGGGCTCTCTTGAGGTTCTCCCGGGTCGTCTGAAGGGTTGCCCGGAGGCCCAGGGAGGGCCAAATCCGTTAGGGGGGAAGGGGGGGGGGGCTTTTTCTGGCGTCCACTGCCATGTAAAAAAATATGAATAGGAATATGTACGTAAGAGGGGAAGGGGAGGGAAGGGTGCGGCAGCTGGGAATGTTAGGTTCCGCTCACCCCTCGATCTCACGCGGGCTTCGGACGCAGCGAGGATCAAAGCGTGAATGCCGCCTCAGAGATTTCCCGAAACAAACAGATGCGCCTCACATTCCCACAAACAGCAATGTTCCAATGAGGGTGATGCGAGAGTGGCTCATCCAATATGAATTGCCGTGAATATCCGTTCACGGCGGTGAGACCAGCCGCGCGATCCCGGGCGAGAGGCGGACTGTACATTGGCGCGCACACACGCAAGCACGCAAACGTGCACACATAATGTGCACACAACTTTCTCTCAGCGGGCGCGCGGATGCCGCGAGCAAGAGCATTGCACTCACGCGCGGAAGCATGCAGTGGACCCCTACAACAGAAAAAACAGCGGGGAGAAAGCATCCGAAGAGGGCGGGAGGAAAGGCAGCGCCGCACCGGGGATAGATGGGATGCAATCCTGCGGCATCGACACCACGATCGTGTGAATAGACGTCGAGCCGCAACATAGCGCGTTTAAAACAAGAGCGAACAACACAACGGAAACGCAACGAAAAACAGAAAGAAAAACAAAACGAGGGCCACAGCCTAACTAAACATCGTTCTGGTCGGTCCCTGAACATAGCAGATGCACATGCGCACACGCTCGCTTCTGCGCCTACGCGCGCGCATACACGAGCTCATGCGCATGCATACATTGAAGCATCCGTGCGCGCCAAGGCGTTTTGTTTCCTGTGCCACGGTCCGGAATGATGTAGCCGTCCGAAGGGCGGGCTCAAACACGGAAGCTAAGCGGCGCTGAAATTAAGCAGAAGCGTTCACGGACGTACAACAACGAATACGTTTCCACGCGCACCAGCATACATACACGCGCGAACAACATCACAAACACGTTAGTACATCCATACTCATGCGCGCACCATTGCGCAGACACACATGCATGAACCGAGCAAGGAGACACTCTGCAGTCTGTTCTCGACATGTTGACCCCAGAAAAGCTTACTCATATCTAGGCTTCTGCCCAGATCACGTATGTCATCCCCCCAATCCCCCTGACCTGTGCAAAGTTGCGGAACTCCTCCTCGGAGAGCAAGCCACTGGCGAGCACGGATAACACATTGAGACAAGCAATGGGGGGACAACATGGACGGAACATTTGCACACGAGGAAGCACGACAATGACAATTATGCTTGCGTGACATGCATCCGGGATCTGGTAACTGTCATGCCGCGGGCACAAAACTGGTGTCGACCGCTCCCTCTTGCAGAATTAAAGACGCCAGTTCATGTATCGTCGGTTGCTAGTGGACCTTCTCGTCCGTACGACGCGCACTCTCTGTCCATCTGTATTCGCAGACAAACCCTGACAATGAGAATACCGCCAAAGCGTAGAAGCATAATTAACGATATATATATATATAGAGAGAGAGAGAGAGAGAAACAAAAAACAAAAAAGGGGTTTGGAAATAGCGAGAAGAGTAATTAACAGAGGGGGAGAGGGGGAGAAAGAGAGACCGACAGAGAACAGGATAATTAGGCGAGACCCTTCCTGGAACGCCTCAGCTGTGACCATGAAGGGCATTGAAAAGAGAACTGGGGGAGACGGGGGAATAGGGCATACGCTTGTCCATTCCCGAAGAAGCTTGCAACTACAAGTGGATGCATGTCGTGATTGAATGCAACATCAAACACCCCCAGGAGGCCCCAAGAGCCAAGAGGGCCCGGACAGGCCTCGTCGTCGTCGTCCTCCTCCTCCTTGACATCGTCCTCCCTTCCACCGCTTTTCCTCCTATGTAAGCTTCTCCCGTTGCACTACTAGACGTGTTCGTGGGCTGGCAAGGCGCTTCGCCTGAGCCTTCCTTACAGCTTGCACTCCTAAAGCTCAGGGAGACCCCAGCAGGGATGGATCGCCGGTTGCTTACACAGTGGAGCTCTCGCCTCGGCGCCGCGCACAAATTTATCTGCAGAGCTTCAGGCCGTTTTAAACCGACCGAGGGCTGGCGGTTCTCGAGCGCGGCTCTCGCCTTAGTAGCGCCGCGCGCGTCCGTGATGCAGAAAATTCCAGCAGAGACAAAAGATGGAGACACGCGCTTGAGATTTCCTCGATTTCGATGTCCCGCAGCTCCACACTGCGCAATACGGTGAGGGCATTGGATAAGGAACCATTGGATAAGGAATCCAGGGTCTGGAAGCCAGTGGAACTCCAATTGAGGCTTGGTCATGGGTGTCACCGCCGCCCTCATCAGATAAGGACCCCCCCAGGGTCTGAAGCCTCCTGGGCATATTCCTTAACCAACGCTCCCACCGTAGTTACAGGGATGGAAAGCGGCTGCTTTGCAAGCTGGGGCTCTCGCGTAGGATTTCTGCGAAGTTTGTGATGAGGACTTCGAAATGGCGCGGCACTCACGCCGATAGAGGACTGAGGAGGAGGGAGGAGGAGGAGGCGGAGGAGGAGGAGGAAGAGGAGGAGGGGGAGGAGGAGGGAGGAGGAGGAGGGGAAGGAGGAGGAGCAGGAAGAGAGGAGGAGGCGGAGGAGGAGGAGCAGGAGGAGGAGGAGGAGGGGAGGAGCAGGAGGAGTAGCGAGGAGGCGGAGCAGGAGCAGGAGGAGGCCTCGGAGGAGGAAGGGGGGGAGAATATCAAACGAAAACGTCGAGCAGCCGGGCTTGCAAGACCACGCCCTGCTGCACCGCTCTGTCTCTCAGCGCCTCTCTTCGCGCATACACACACACATTCGCACATTCACACACACACACACACACACTCACTCACACATCGCTGCAGGCCGAAGACTCCTAGCGGCCGACCCGACCACCTGCTTAAAAGCAGGAGGAGGAGTCGGAGGAGGAGGAGGAGGAGGAGGGGGAGGAGGAGGAGCAGGAGGAGGAGGAAGACGAGGAGGAAAGGGCACACCCGGGGGAGGGAGAGGGACAGGGCGAAGGGACCAGGGGCAGCAGCTCGGCGAGCCCAAATATCCGACGTCGTGATTTTTTCAATGCGGGGTCCCCGGAAATTTCGACCGACTCCCCGGGACCGGGTCTTCATCCCGAATCGTTTTCTGACCGTCCCGGGGCCCAGCGAGGGCCCCTAGAGGCCGAAAATTAGCAAAAACCTCCGTCGTGAGATTTTTTTCGAAGCGTTGGATCTCTGGGAGCGCCAGAAAGCTCAGGGAGACACGAGCGTGGAGCGTGGAGATCCTCTGCAGCACGGGCCTCTCGCGCCCAGGCGGCAGGCCCACGGAGGAGCGCTCGTCATATGCAGGGGGGGGGGGGGGGCGCGCCTCCCCGGCCTGGGCAGGCATGCTCGCAAGGAGGCTCTGAGGAGGGGCCTCTCGGGGCGGGAGGGCGTGCCACGGCATTGCTGATGCATCCTGGGTTTGCTCTGATCCTCCTCCTCCTCCTCCTCCACCTTCTCCTCCTCCTCTCCTCCTCCTCCTCCTCCTCCTCCTCCTCCTCTCCTCCTCCTCCTCTCTCTCTCGTTCTCTCTCTCTCTCTCATTATCTCCCTCTCTCTCTCTCTCTTCCTTCCTTCCTGTCTCTCTCTCTCTCTCTTTCTCTCTCTCCTCTCTCTCTCTCTCTGTCTGCATTTCGCTCTTGCTCTCTTTCTCTATGATTATTTTTCTCTCTCTCTCTCTCTCGCTCGCTTCTTCGAGCCGCCGCCCCCTGTGGCCTGCGGAGGGGCCCCGGCAGGCCAAGCGCCACGGCCTTCTTGAAGGGGCCAGGGACACACATGAACAGGCACAAGTCCACGGATTCCCCACATTTCCAACATTTCCTGGATCTTCGCCTTCCCCTCCACCTCCCGGTTTTTCTCTGCTTTCAATGGAAATCAACGATGATGTGTGTCTGTGTGTTTGTGTCGCTCCTGACTTTTTTGGCCCTGCGAAACAATTCCCCGTGGCTCCTAGTTTCACCCGCCGACCACCCAGACAACATCGCAACCACAGCAACATCGAGTCAATCCGTCTCCAAATTGGCCAGGGTGGCCTGAGGTGCCCTCCAAGACGGCCGAAGATCGCCCCATACCTCCGAGACAGCTCAAAATGCCCTTCAAGTCCGCCAAGATGACCCAAGATGACCCAAGATGGCCCCAAGACTGCACGAGATGCCTCCAAGACACCCTAAGAGGCATGGGCTTCAGACAGCTTCAGACGGCCCGCGAGGCCTCTAAGATGGCCAAGAGACTCCCAAAAGGGCCCCAAGACGATCCAAGATGGCATCCAAGACGGCCCCGACGTATACGGTCTCCAACACAATCAAAGATGCCAACTAAGGCCCCAAGATGGCCCAAGACAGCCCCTCCGGTCCAAGATGCCACCAAATGCACCAAGATGCCCCTCAGAGGCACTCAAGAAGCTACTTCCTCGTCCGCCTCCTCGTCGATCTCCTCCTCCTTCGTCCTCCCCTGCTCCGTCCCCTCTTCCTCTCCCAGGTGTTCCTCACGAGTTTCCACAACGGCTGGCTGACCACATAGTCCAGCAGCTTGGCCAAGCTTTGGCACAACGTTTGGCCACATCGGCGTTTCCAGCAGGGGGCGGCGGTGCATCGCCGTCAGGCGTCAGGCGTCTTCAGGCCGCCGCCCTCCCAGCCTGATGGAGGGGTACTGGCGTGCCAGCTGGTGTGGCTCTGATCGATAGTTCCAAGCAAGTCCCAGTGGCCTTCTGGGCCCAAGCTGTCGGCCACCCAGGCCGACACCAAAACTGCAGAGAGCCATCTTCTATGGCCTTCACGACGGCTAAGGTGGCCCAAGATGGCCTCCAAGATGGGCCCAAGAAGAGAGCCCCAGATGGCCGCAACACAGCCCAAGATTGCCTCAAGACGGTCCAAAAGGCACCCAAGACGCCCCACGGGGGCTTCAAGCTGTGATCATGCGGCTTTTACCTGATTTTCGAATTCTGGTCCCTTCGAGCTACCGAACGCTCAGGACGGCCCATCGCCCCAAGACGGCCCCCAAGAAAGCCCAATACGGCCCCAATACGACATAAAGACAACCCCCAGACGGCCCCAAAGGGCCGCAAGACGGCCCAGGAGAGTCCAAAGATAGCCCCATCAGAGCCCCAAACGGTCCCCAGGACATTCCGGATGGTCCCCCAAGGCGACCTCCGAGGGCCCTACCAAGTGACCCCCAGTGGCTTCCTAAGCGCTAGGGGAGCACGCAGTCCACTAGCACGGCGGCACCTTCGCTCGCTCTTGGGGCGCTCGGGCGATGTTAGGCCCCTCCTGAGGATTATCGAAGACGCCTACGGCAAATCACCGCCGCTCCCTGCCTTCTTGGGAAGCGCCTCTGTGGCCAAACGTTTGGCCCCCGGACGGCCCGAGCTATCGGACTACGTATTCCCCCGACCGCTCTGGAAACTCGTCCGGGAAAATTTTGGGGGGAGGATCTCACCACAGAGGCGTTTCCAGAAGGCAGGGGGCGGCGGTGCTTCGCCGCAGGCGTCATCGATAAGCGGAGAGAGAGAGAGAGAGAGAGAGAGAGAGAGAAAGAGAGAGAGAGAGAGAGAGAGCGAGAGAGCGAGAGAACGAGAGAGAGCGAGAGACAGAGAGAGAGAAAGAGAGAGTGATGCATCCGCCCCGCCCCTGCCCCCCCGCCGTGACGAGCCATCTGTCGCGCCCGAGTGGAATGTTCGCCCATGCTGTGAACGTGGGCCTCGTCGTCGTCGTCGTCGTCATCGTCCTCCCCATCCTCCTCCGCTTCCTCCTCCCCGTCCTCCGCCTCATAATTGAGCCGCCTGTCGTCTGTGTCGAACAGGCCGAACGCGAAGCTGATCTTGTTCTGGGTGTCGATGACCAGAGAGAGCCACACTCCTGCGGAAAGCATGGCAAGCGGCCAAGTGCTCAGCCCTCGCCCGCCTCTGCCACAAGTGGGGTGACATGTATAAGCGCGTGTCATACATCATGTATTGGTGTATATATATATACAAAGAGAGAGAGAGAGAGAGAGAGAGAGAGAGAGAGAGAGAGAGAGAGAGAGAAAGAGAGAGAGAAAGAGAGAGAGAAAGAAAGAAAGAGAGAGAGAGAGAGAGATGGAGCGAGAGAAAGCGAGAAAGGGAGAGAAAGAGAGAGAGAGAGAGCGAGAGAGCAAACGAAAGAGAGAAATAGAGAGAGAGAGAGAGAGAGAGAACAAAAAGAGGGAAAAGAGAGAGAGAGAGAGAGAGCGCATGAGAGAAGCGAGGCGAGTGAGAACGTGAGAGGCGGTCGCGGGAGCCGAGGGGAGCCCGCGGATGGTGGAGGGAAGGGGCCTCGAACCCTCGGAGCCTCGGGGCCTCAGGGGGCGCCCGCCACGGAGAGTCGAGATCCGACTTAGGAGGCGAGCCGGAATGTGAATTGGTTTAGGTCGGGCATGTCGCCCTGCAGGCGGACTTCGGACGACAGAAAAAATAGCCAAGCAGTGCACCGAAATGATCAGAAATGGTCGAAAAATCGCAGCCAGACTATTTTTTGACTATGCTTGCATATTCCTCCTGTAGAGGGACACGCGCCCGATTGAAGAATAGGTATGCAAGTCGAAATGCAGATCCGAATGCACAACGACATACAAATCCAATGGCAATCGGAATGCAGGTCGGCATGCAACTCCAGGTGCAATGGACATGAGCATCGGAATACCCATCAATGTGCACATCGAGCATTAAATCGAATGGCAATCAACAGGCACATCGAAATGCACATCGGAATCAACATGAACATCGCGCCGCATATGGAAGCGCGAATCGTATTGCACTCAAATGGAAATCGAAATGCGAATCCGATTGCAATCAACATGTAAGTCGAAATGCATGCCGAGATGCACATCGAAATGCAAAACGGCATGCAAATCTTCAGGGTCATTCGACCGCAATCGAACGCACATTCCTCCCTCAATCTCCTCATCACCCGAAGGGTGGTCTATGAGGTGTGCTTACAAATGCAGCGGTGCTGATCCAACTGGTTCCCCTTTCCATCCGAAAATGGTCCGCCACAGACCGGGTGACGGCCGGGGACGCCGGGCCCCGAGCGCCCAATATGAGCCCACGACGGCCCCAAATGGCCCCAAGGCGGCTCCAGATGGCGCCAGAAGGCGCCAAGAGGCCCCGAAGAGCCCGACCCAAGACGTGTCCAAGACGGCCCAAGATGGCCAGTAGTTGGCCGAATGAGCCTCCAAGGCGGCTCGAGGAGGCCCCGAGAGGAGTCCCAAGAAGCCCGCCCCAAGAAGACCCCAAAGGCGTCCAATAATGGCCTCAGACGGCCCAAGACGAGCCCAAAGCGGTCCAAGAAGAACCCCGGAGGGGCTCCAGACAGACCACGAGAGCCCCCAAACAGCCTGACGGGGCGCCCCCCAAGAGACCCGCAAGACAGCCCTGAGGGCCCCCAAACAACCCGAAAAGGCCCCAAGACGGCCCAACAGGCCCCGAAGACGGCCTGAGAACGACCCCAAGACACCCCCAAGAGGGTCCCACTCGCAACCATGGATCAGTATGGCGACGGTCAGATAATCAATCTCCGTTGGTGTATATCCACACGCACACAAGTAGCACGTGCGTGCCAAGGCTCATACAAAAGGAAGTACACGATATAGGCAGGAGCAGAGAGGAGATGTCCATTCCAATGGACATCATTGCGGAAAAATCTTGAAGGACGCCGTCAATCGTTCACAATGCGGTGCAATAGCAAGGGTGCAGTTGACCGCAAATCAGATTGCCATACCTTGCGATTGCACTTGCAAAAGGAGCAGGGGGTCACCGATGGGGTTGCCACAGCTTGTGATTAGACGAGCTGCTGAGAAGCACCCATGTGGACATGGAGAAACGAAGGTTAGACCAAACTTGAAGAAATACAAGTCAGATCATTACGAACAAGTGAGTTGTAAGAGCGGTACGCGAAATCACTGAAAGCACGAAATGCTTGATACGTTTCTTTCAGCATGCTGGAGGAGCCATTGCGTTTGGGGCCGTGACGTCGAGAACTGCGTGAAGGGCGCGTCCATTTTTCAAATGTTGAGGATGCCCCGAACGAAACGGCCAGAACAAGCGCGAACTGCTAGAGTAAAGCTGGAGAAATACATGTCAAATACGTCGAACAATTAGTGGTGCTGTGAGAACTGAATGCAAACCCATGGAACTCCATTGTGTTTGAAACTGGTTTGTTCTGTGTTTGTTCTGTCTGAGAAAAGAACATTGCGTTTTTTGGACCGTGACGTCGCGATTTGCGTGAGGGGTACGACTGAATTGCGGCATTCTGAACATTTCCCTGGCGAAATGGCCAATCGATTCCGAACGGCCGCGGCCGAGAATCTATCGCCTCTTAACTCTACTCCCTCAAAGAATTGCCTATGATAATGGCTATACGTCTACTGCAAGCCGTACTACCTCATAGACTACCTTTCGGGTGCTGAGATCGGGGGGGATGGGAGCGTGGCAGCTTTTGGTTTGCGATTGGCGTCTGATCGGGTTCGCAATGTATCTATCTTGAGCTCGCTATATACTGATCTCAGTACCGACGCGCAGATATCACTGTATCTGGCGACGTCGCTACATACCAATCGATCTCAATATGCATCGGTCTCGCTGCCTACCAATAGGTCTCAGTACATATTACACACTATACATGTTTGTTTATACGTACATGTAGTTCTGACCTGTGTATCTACCAATATCACGTTCTATATCATGATTGAATTTCGATTTGTTTGAAGATGGCATAACAATTTGACGTTCGAACTGGATGCTATGCACATGCAGACTTGCATTTCGGGTTGCGTTCCGATTGAAATCGATGTCGCATTTCGACGTGCATGACGATTGCAATTCAATCCATATTCTCATCTGCACTTCGATGCTCATGCTGATGTAGGGTTGCACGTTGATGTGCATTGTTGATGTCCTCTCGATTTGATGTTCAGATCGACCTTAGAGTTGCATTTCGACTTTCGTCTCGATGTGCTTTGCATGTCGGTTTGTACTTCCCACAGGACAACTGACGCTACCACCACGGGACAACCCGCGGGGAAACCCACGGGACAAACAGCGGGACCACCCACGGGACAACCACGAGACAACCCACGGGACAACCCACGGGACAAACCACGAACAACACACGGTACGGCCCCGAGACATCCAAGGGACAACTTTGAGACAATCGTGGAACAAATGCAACCGTCGCCATCGCACAGCTGCGCCCTCGCACAGCTGCGCCCCACCCGCCCGCACGACACGAACAGAAACCGAAACTGCAAGGCTGGAGCCAACTCGCCCTCACAGTCCCAGCATCCGATCTTGCTAGCCGGCTACTGCCCGCGGGCATTCACGCGACAACCCACGGGATAGCCCGCGAGGCCACCTGGGAAGAGCTGGGACAACCAACTGGACAACCACGGGGCAACCACGGGACAACCCACGAGACAACCAGGGCACCAGCACAACCCATACGACAAACACGCGGCAACCACAGGACGACCCCGCGGGCGACCGCGATACGGGTCGAGAATCATGTCGATCGGCTTGGTCCTGGCTAAGGCCAACAAATTACGGCCCTTGCGCAGCTTCACCTCGCCTGCACGCACGACACGAACCGAAACCACACCCAATTTCTCGGTGGGGGGCGCTACGCGCTCACACCCCCTCCGAAGACTCCAAATCTGTCAGGTGAAGAGAACCTGCACTCACAGCGCAGACAAGTGAAAGTGACAGATGGAATGCCTATGCGAGTGGGTTCAACTAGCTGTTCACTTGGTGTCGCGGCGCCTGCCTTCCAGGGTACCGACGGCCTAACCCTGCGAGAATTGCAGATTACATGTCCTGGTCCCCAAACTCTGACAACGCTGCTACCACAACGCCCTCAGCCACGGCCTAGAACTGGCACCAGTCTAACTCATTCTGAAGAAGATCGCAGCATACAACTGTTCCAGCGCAAACGGCAGCACATGTATCCTCACCGATACGTGCACCGAATATCGAAAACAAACCTGATCAATTCTGACCAGAATTCCCACTCGAATATGCTCACCCAATAACTGGGACTGCAACCTCTCACGCAGTGGCCCACACCAGTGCTCGAAGCTGCAGTGCAAACTTCATCGCCATCTGCTGGAAGCCCCAGCGCAAACTGAACCATCCAGGACTGAAGCTACTCCTCTCATACCCTCGTCTAGTGGGCGAGCTGAGAGCCAAACCGCATCATTGATAACGATTTGGTCTGTCACCGGCGCGCGTGCGACACAGCATTCCCGTCGACGGTGCTCCTCCGTACTCCAACCTAATGCCAAGACTGCGACATGATCCAAGAAAAACGTACATACATCAAATGAGGTTGGACCCCAAGCCCAGAATCACGTGAAGAAGTCAAAGACGAGTGATGTGCAGTCCCGAGTCTCGATGTGTGCGCTGCACTACGAGTCACCCAAGCGATGCGCACAATCATGCGGGCGTGGCATCGCACGGACATGCAGTGAAATACCCGAAAACCTTGAACAGATCTCCCACACCATACCCACTTCCCCACACCAAAAAAGCAATGTTTGCCAGCGTGGACCCCAAACAATGAATTCTTGCACTCACGATGTGCGCTATGCGTGCTGCAAATATGGGATGCAAACTGACTGTGTGGGTCAAGCCGAGCTCATGCGTACACATATTTACACGTATACACATCTATAGATGATGTACAAAATATGTTTCAAGCAGTGTGCTAAAGACTAAATGGTGCGCTCTGTGGGGTGCAATATGTGCGGAACAATTTCTGGAGCCAGATATTGGTGTCGCAGCCTATGTGTGCAATTAAGCGTGCCCGCATCCGCACGTGACCGCCCCCAACGCTCGTGCAAAAATCCCACCGACCCACCCGCAGCTCATTGACATAACTTATAATGATGGTGCTAGTGAAGATAATCAGGAAGAGCGCGCACACAGAAATTTGACGAGGGCGACGACATCAACGATGACGATGATGACAGCGGTGGTAATACTGACGACGACGACGACGACGACGACGACGACGACGACGACGACGACGACGACGACGACGGTAGTGGTGCTGATGATGATGGCAACGATGCCGCTGGCGGTGATGATAACGATGGTGCTGATGAAGGCGACGGGGAAATACGCGCCCGCAGGAATTCCGAAATCCAGGGACCTTTTGCTCCACTCGATACTCGTATGTGTTGAAGATCCCTGTGCTGTGAATATTAAAAACCAATAATCTTGAAAGGCTGCCGACGTGCGCGCGCAGAGACGCGCGAGTGTGGCCCGCATCGTATTATTTGACAGATTTGGCGGGCGCGCGATGATTGCTGAATTTTCGACATGCGCACGTATGGCCCACATGCCCTCATGTGGCAGAACGGCTGAAGACCCATGGTTTCCTTATGATTTCAACAAGTGCGCGCGCGCAGAATTCTGGCGACCTCTTTGTTGAAAAGCAGCTGCCCCTTCGCTCGGTGCTAACTGGCCATGTCTTGAGTTTGTCGGAAAAAATTATCCCAGTGCGACCCTACCTAGGAGTTGGAACCCCTAGGAAAGCAGCATTAGTACTAACAGTAACGCTAAGCTAAAGCTAAGCTAAAGCTAAGCTAAAGCTAAGCTAAAGCTAAGCTAAAGCTAAGCTAAAGCTAAGCCACAGCTAAGCCACAGCTAAGCTAAAGCTAAGCTAAAGCTAAGCTAAAGCTAAGCTAAAGCTAAGCTAAAGCTAAGCTAAAGCTGAGCAACAGCTAAGCTAAAGCTAAGCTACAGCTAAGCTAAAGATAAGCTAAAGCTAAGCTAAAGCTAAGCTAAAGCTAAGCTAAAGCTAAGCTACAGCTAAGCTAAAGTTAAGCTAAACGCTAAGCGAAAAACTAAGCGAAACGCTAAGCTAAAGCTAAGCTACAGCTAAGCTAAAGCTAAAGCTAAGCTAACGCTAAAGCTAAAGCTAAAGCTAAAGCTCCCAGGGGACTGGGGGAACCGCGGGGCGGGGACCGGGGGAACCGCCCGGGGCGTGTTACACTGCCCGGCCCCTTTAAGCTAAGAGAGTAAGAACCCTTCTAGGCAGAGCCTAGGTAGGGAATAACTGAATTCCAAAACGATTTTGACATGCGCGCGCGACGGCGCGCGAATGTGCTCAGCATTGCGTTTGCCTGGGGTTCTTAGATAAATATGTTCTTAGGCCAGTGCCTGTGCACCGCATAATGTTACTTGAATTATAGCCGGAGTGCAGTATCCCCAAACAGGGTTTTTAGACCCACTGCGGTTTCCAAGGTCGATTGCGTGCCCGCCTAGTGCGGGCTGGCATGGCATGTTAAAACATGCCTCCTCCTCCGCCTCCTCCTCGTCCACCTCCTCTTCATCCCGAAAGGCATCTCGGAACCCAGAGTTGCGAGGATGTCTCCAGCGTAACGGGCTGGACCACCTCGCGCGCGGCATTTCGGACCCCAGAGTTGCGACGATGTCTCGGGCGAAACGTGCTGCGAGGAAGTCTCAGGCGAAACGGGCCGGACCACCTCGAGCGCGGCGTCTCAGAGCTCCGAGTTGCGGGGGCCTCCTGGTGCCTCCTGGGGCCTCCTGGGGACCTCCTGGGGCTTCCTCCCGGGCCTCCTGTGGCCTCCTGAACTCCACCTGAGGTTTCCTGAAGCATCTTGGGGCTCCCAGGGGGGATATCTAACCTGTGGCCGTTTGGGCCTCTCCAAATACAGGGGGGGGCCACAGGAGCAGGAAAAATCAACGAATCGACACCGGATGTGTATTAACTTGACACGTTCTGATAGAGGGCCTCCTGGGGCCTCCTGGGAGCCTCCTGGGAATCTCCTGCGGACCCCTGGGGCCTGTCCTGGGCGTCCTGCGGCCTCCTGAAGCTCTCTGGGACCTCCCCCTCCTCCTGCCTGCTCCCTCATGCACATCATCCGCCTCCTCCTTCTCCCTTCCATCTCCTCCTCCTCCTCCTCCTCCTCCTCCTCCTCCACCTCCTCTTCATCGCGAACGGCATTTCGGAGCCTAGAGTTGCGAGGATGTCTCCAGCGTAACGGGCTGGACCACCTCGCGCGCGGCATCTCGGACCCCAGAGTTGCGACGATGTCTCGGGCGAAACGTGCTGCGAGGAAGTCTCAGGCGAAACGGGCTGGACCACCTCGAGCGCGGCGTCTCAGAGCTCCGAGTTGCGGGGGCCTCCTGGTGCCTCCTGGGGCCTCCTGGGGACCTCCTGGAGCTTCCTCCTGGGCCTCCTGTGGCCTCGTGAACTCCACCTGGGGTTTCCTGAAGCCTCTTGGGGCTCCCAGGGGGGATATCTAACCTGTGGCCGTTTGGGCCTCTCCAAATGGAGGGGGGGGCACAAGAGCAGGAAAAATCAACGAATCGACACCGGATGTGTATTAACTTGACACGTTCTGATAAGCGGCCTCCTGGGGCCTCCTGGGAGCCTCCTGGGAATCTCCTGGAGACCCCTGGGGCCTGTCCTGGGCGTCCTGCGGCCTCCTGGTGCCTCCTGGGCCTCCTGGGGACCTCCTGGAGCTTCCTCCTGGGCCTCCTGTGGCCTCCTGAACTCCACCTGAGGTTTCCTGAAGCATCTTGGGGCTCCCAGGGGGGATATCTAACCTGTGGCCGCTTGGGCCTCTCCAAATGGAGGGGGGGGCACAAGAGCAGGAAAAATCAACGAATCGACACCGGATGTGTATTAACTTGACACGTTCTGATAGAGGGCCTCCTGGGGCCTCCTGGGAATCTCCTGGGGGCCCCTGGGGCCTGTCCTGGGCGTCCTGCGGCCTCCTGGACCTCTCTGGGGCCTCCTGAGGCTCGCAGGGTCCCATGGAGGATATGTAACATGTGGCCTTCTGGGCCCCCAGGCTGGACCACCTCTTGCGCAGCATCTGAGAGCTCAGAGTTGCGAGAATATCTTGTGCGAAACAGGCCGGACCACCTTGCGCACGGCATCTCAGATCTCAGAGTTGCAAGGATTTCTCAGGCGAGACGGGCCGGACCACCTCGCGCAGGGCATCTCAGAGCTCAGAAGTTCGAGGATGTCTCAGGCGAAACGGGCCGGACCACCTCGCGCGCGGCATCGGGGAGATCAGAGTTTCGAGGATGTCTCAGGCGAAACGGGCCGGACCACCTCGCGCGCGGCATCTTGGAGCTCAGAGTTGCGAGGATGTCTCAGGCGAAACGGCCCGGACCACCTCTCGCGCGGCATCTGGGAGCTCAGAGTTTCGAGGATGTCTCAAGCGAAACGGCCCGGACCACCTCTCGCGCGGCCTCTCAGAGCTCAGATTTAGGAGGATGTCTCAGGCGAAACGCTCAATCCCGGACAACTCAGAAACGAGAGTTGTGAGGATGTCTCAGGCGAAACGGGCCGGACCACCACATTTGTTTGAGGATGTCTCTGCTTAGCTTTCCCTCGGCCGGAATTAGCTTCTATCACAACAGCACCCCGTTCAGCAAGCTGTTTGGGGAAAAATGCGATGGGGGCGATTCTGGGACAGGTTGGCATGCTGCCATTTGCTATCTGGGATGAGCGATCATGACAATAAGCATGAACAACAAACATATATGTACTCGGAGGGATACTGATACGTCGTGCCTCGGCTGGGGGCTATACTCAAATTGTTGCCCAGCGAGGGAATCTACGGTGTGCAAGCTATTGGGTGCAAGCTGTGACGTCTATGTGGGGCAAGCTATGAGGCGCAATTTGCTTATGTGGCGCAACCCATGCGGGCTTCCGAATTTTGAACCGCCAGACAACGCACAACATGTGGGACGTATCGAGCGCCGCGGCCAGTCCAGAGGGTTCCAGAACGCTCTGAGCGCGTTCCAGAGCGCTCTGGAGCGATCTATCCCGACCCATGGGTCTGACTTCATGCACGGTGCGGCCACCAGGCGAAAAGTTTCAGAACCCAGTTAGTGCACTGGGTGGGGCGGCCATGGGACGGCGACGGCCTGACACACTTCTTTGGAGTTCCGAAACGGTGCGGTGACAGACCGTGCTGTGAGCTCGAAATCCCCCAAGACCTCACCGCATGGTCCGTCAACGTACGGTTTTGGGACCCTTGAGGCCCGTGTCGCCCGAGACGTCCTCGGAGAACGACCCAAGTCACAAAACCGTGCGGTGACCCCGAATCCCCACCGACTCACCGCACGGTGTGGTCACCACCCCGTTGGGGGGCCCCCGAACTGAAAACACAGCCGACGCACCGGGTGAGAACCGAGAACACCCAGCACAGAGCGGCCACGAGTCGGCCACGGCATGAACCTCTGACAAGCCTGGCCACCGCACGCGGCGGCCACGAGGCGGCCACCGGCCAGAAGCCCGGAACATCCACCCAATGACCGTCGGACCTGAGGCCGAAAGTAGCACCCTCCAAGAACACGGGACCCCTCGTGGGCCAGAACGCGCAGAACATCCAAGGGTGCCCTCCCCGAGGATGCACAACAGCATCCGACAAGCACGAAGAACATGAGGGCACCCTCCTCCTCCTCCTCCTCCTCCTCCTCCTCCTTCTCCTCTTCCTCCTCCTACTCCTCCTTCTCCTCGAACCGGCCTCGATCTTATACTGTACCCCGGTCCGACTGCATTCGGAGGCTGACAGCAGATCCGTGGTGCGAGCACCGTTGGAGGAAAGAGCCCACGACGGGCCCAGTGCGCCATGTTTTCGAGTACGCAGTGGATCGGCCACAGGCTTGATTCACCCAAAACAGTGATGCCTCCGTCGAAAGCACGCACAATGCTCCGTGGATCCACAGAGCTTTCTGCGCATTTTGTTGTAGATCCGACGGGGGAATCAAATTTGAGGGTACATCAATCCTGCAGTCGATCCCCTGCTCGAAGTTCTGCCGCTGGTCCGAGGGCGGGGGAGTCGGAGCTCCTGCCAGCATCACAGCGCACGCCTGCACCTTGATCCCGCCCGACGTCTTGCTCGACTGGCCTCCCCTGTCCTTTGATCCTAGGCCGGCCCCGACTTTGCGCTTCGCGCTGCGCGACAGGCGATGCACGTGCATCTTCGTACCCTCGCGCCACGACCTTCGAAGCGCTGAAGCGCGATCATCTTCGCGCAGCTGTGGGGTATCTAGTCTCTCCCACGTCCTCTGGAGTCGGGCCCCTCACTGCCAACCACGCCTGCGCGGAGCAAGGAAGTCAGGGGCAAGCTCTTCGAGGCTTCCGAGCGGGGGGGGGGGGGGGGGGGCGGCGGAGGAGACGGGTGCAGAAGTGCCGAGGTGCCCCCAGGACCGAGAGGATGAGACATTCCATGAGGGCGTCTACTGTGAGAGAAGCTTCTTCAAAGGAAAAAGGAGCGGTATAAACATAAACGTTTGACGGTCCGCGCGGATTTCTTGGATCCACGCTGGAACCCCCTCCCTGGCGCGCTCCGCGCGCCAGGGGCGGGCGCCAGGGGCGGCGCCGGAGGCGCCGCCAGGGGGGCCCAGCGCGGATCCAAGAAATCCGCGCGGAGCGCCGAAAATCCATGTTCATGGCGATTTCTTCGAATGAGGACGTCTACTGTGAGAGAAGCTCCTTCTACCGGGAAGCTTGAAACGCACATGGGTGGATCCACGCGTGGAGCACGCGGAGGCCGCGCGCTGGATGCGCTTCTGGGAGCCCTGCGTGCGTGCCCTGCCGCAGGATGGCCGAGCGCGGGGAGGGCATCGTTGACCACGTGTGCAGCGCACTCTCGCCCAGTCTGGCCGCGTCAGGTGGCGGGCTCCGGCAACCCCGAGTGTCAAACAACATGCATCTCTCCTGCACCTGCTCCTGCCCCTGCTCCTGCTCCTGCTCCTGCTCCTCCTCCTCCTCCTCCTCCTCCTCCTCCTCCTCCGCCTCCGCCCGCAACTCTCGCCCCGCCTGGCCGCGTCAGGCCGCGGGTTCCCGCAATCCCTGAGCGTCACAGCAGGCACTTCCGCGGACCTTCCGCAGGCCTCCCCTGGCGGAGCCGCCCTCGCTAGCTGCCTCCGCCAGCTGCCGCCGGCCTCGCGCGGAGCAAGGAGCAAGGTCTTGCTTTGGGTCGGGCGTGTCCTCCTACAGGCGGCTTCTGGGCGAAAGTGACCAATATCCAAACAATCTTCAAACATAGTCAAAACAATCGCGTCCCCGGAGAGCATGCCTTCACTATTCTGGAGAGCATTCCTCGTGCAGAGAGCCATGCCCGACTGAGATCTTGCGGCGGCGGTCCCTCGAGGGCAGCGACCTGCCTGCAGCGCGCCCCGTGTGCCCCGCGTCCCCGCAGGTGCGCCCCGCCGCGCGCGGAGCGCCGCGCGAGGGCGCGCGGCACCTTCTGAGGGGGGGCGCAGAGGAGGCGGGGGCAGGGGGGCAGGGGTGGGGTTTCTTGGGGGAGGCGCATGGCTTGAAACGGCTCCTGGAAGAAGGAAATGTCGAAGGGGCCCTGGGACACACAAATAAATGCACACAAATAACATAATCCCCCATGTTTTCCCATATTTTCTGGGTTTTTGTTTCCCTCCCACTTCCCATATTTTCCCAGATTTTCCTGGGAGTCGACGATTAATTGTGTCTGTGTGTTTTTTTCCCTCCTGAAATCCAGCTGGGCATGTCCTGATCAGGCGTGGCAAGGACCCCTGACCCTTGGGGAGGTGGCCTGATTCAGGAGGGCCCGGGACATTAGGGATAAGGAGTCTTTTTGTTGGCACAGGTGGATCGAACCAAACCGCCCATATCTACTAGCCCTGATGCGAAAAAGGGGCCTCAGTGAGGCCACATTGTCATCGTATGATTAGGGTTAGGTCGGGCAAGTCCTCCTACAAGCGGATTTGGGAGGAAAATGGAAAAATCAAACAAACAATCAAACATAGACTTCAAAATCGAAAAATCGTCCCCAGTCTATTGTTTGACTGGTCTTGAATACTCTTCCTCCAGAGGGACACGCCCGCCTGAAGACTAGGTTCCGGGGCCACCTTGCCCTCGACGATGCCCCCTGACCTGCGAGCCCTCGACCCTCGCGCCCCCGCGCTTCCGCTGCACCCGGGGAGAGGCGCACCTCTCCAGCAGGCCCGGCCGCGGAGCGCGGCGGCCCCCTCGCGCGCCCGCCCCGGGCGGCCCTGAGAGGGGCTCGACCCTCGAGCCTCGAGCCTCGAGCCTCGAGCTTCGAGCCTGGACCCGAGCCTCGGAACCCAATCCTCGATGCACATATACACCGCGACGTCCGGTCGGCCAGGGAGCTCGGCGCGTATGTTCGGGGGTTGCTAAAGGTGCCTCTGGTCCCAGCTTTGCGCTCGACGACATCGTCACCATCGTTTCTGGAGCCCCTGGGGCCCTCTGGGCCTCGGGAGGGGTGCTCTCTGGAGGCCGTGGGGGGCCTCCTTCGAAGCCCTGGGGGCACCGTGAGCCAGGGGCGCTTCTGGCAGCACCCGAGTTGCAGGCGCCCCCGCTGCCCGGCCCGTGGGGGGCGCTGGAGCGTGCTGCTGCACCAGGGGCCCGCGCCGAGGTCGGAGGCAGTCCGGGCCGACCGAGCGACGTGGCGCCCGCAGTCGGACCTGCACTCAGGTCGGGCCTCTCCCCCCTACAGGAGGGGTGTTTAAAAATGATACAGAAAAATAATCTGGGGACGATGCTTTGAACGTCTTTTGGTTATTTTTGGACTATTTCTTATTTTTCGTCCAAAATCGGCCTGTAGAGGGACACGCCCGACTTAAACCTACACCACTTCTTGAAATCAAGCACAAGTTTTCATCCTGTTCCCTCGCCCCCAAATTTCAATGCTCATGGACGCGCGCAGCGCGGCCCGCGGGGTCAACAACAAAAAATAGCAGTCGCCAGCATCGGCGTCAACGTCGAAATTGGTGGCTCAGGGGGCGTCACCATGTCGCTGGAAAAGCGTGCGTTTGATTTCGAGGAGGGATGTCGGACTGAAGAGCATCCCTCAGGAACATGAGACCCTCCGCTGGCCCAAATGTGAAGAGCATTCGAGGGTACCCTCCCCCAGGGTTGCACAAGAGAACCTCAAACAAGCACGAGGAACACTTAAGGGACCCTCCGCCGGCCCAAACGAAGAGCATTCGAGGGCATTCGAAGAACATCCGACAGCCACGAAGAACACTTTTGGGCACCCTCCCCGCACCGACCTCGATCCCACACCTCGGTCCGACAGATAGCTACATCGGGCCACCTCGGGCGGCCACCGGCCCAACGCCCTGAAAATCCACCCAGTTACAATCGGACCCAGCGCACAAAAAGCACCCTTCAAGCACATGAGACCCTCCGCCGGCCCAAAGGAAGAGCATTCGAGGGCACCCTCCACCCAGGGGATGCACAAGAGAACATCCAACAACCACGAGGCATACTTAGGGCACCCTCCCCGAAAACCGACCTTGATCTCATACCTCATTAGGTCTGGCTGCAGTCGCATCCGGCCCCCTCGGGCGGCCCATGTGGGCCCCTGGCCTCGGCTGCAACGGGACGCGAGGCCCCCCCCCCCTCTCCTCCTGCTCTGCACCGCCAGGAGGTGCAGGGGAGGCCCGTCCATAGGAAATCTTCCACAAGAAACCCAACCCTGAGACCCAAGGCCGCCTCTTGAGTAATGGTGTGGGAGCGTCGCGCTCGCCACCGCAAAACCATCGAAATCCAGGGCACCCGGAAGGCGAGCAGGGTGCTTCCTGGCGTGGGCCCCCACTGTACCCTTCTCTCTGCTGGCAGCGCCGGCGCGGACGCTCGGCGCGGCCAGAAGGAAGAGGCAGAGGCCGCACGCCGTCTTCGCCGACTCTCTCTCGGCCAAGTGCAGACCAACCCGGGCAGCCACGGGGCACCACAGCGGCCATCCGATGATCGTGTAGGACATTGCCACCTTGGCTCATAGACACAGCCGCCCACCAGGAGGAACACCTTCATCCGCTGCTATTTTTTTCTCAGCGCAACTCTGTTGGAGAGGGGGAGGGAAGCGGGCGAGGACGCAAGCCATCGCTGTGCATCACACCGCGTGTCCTCGTTCGGTGCAAGGCTGGGGCCCCTACATCCACAACCTGTGGGGTCCCGCCGGGAGTCTCTGAGGAGGCATTGAGGACGTGGACAAACTTCCCGCGCTCGAGGTGGGGGGGCAGATGTCCACGGCCACCGCTCCGCCCAGGAGGATCGAAGACCTCACTTCTGGAGGTCGACGTCCGCAAATTTCCCAGAAGGATCGAAAGCTTCCACCCTGAAAGAACAAGAAAAGAACTTCCATTCTGGAGGTCGAACCTCCACTCCGGAGGGGAAAAGCTGTCAGAATGAAGACAGCGAACCTGCAGAATGGGAGGTCGGACCTCCGTTGTGAAGGCGTTTGATCCTCTGCAGAGCCTCCAGGATGGAGGATCTGAAAGCCGCCTGACCTCGACTGCCAGATCCCCGACGACATGTTTCCATGACGGTGACCCCCACAGGTCTGGACCCTTCCCGAGGGACCGACTTTTCACCCCGAGCTGTTTTGTTGACAGCCCCCCAGGGCCCCACGAGGGCTGAAAGCTGTCAGCACCTCCTGTCGTGACTTCGTCACAACGCGATGGGGTCTGGGCTCTAGAGGTTCCTGATCCTCTGGGCAAACTAACCTTCCGCCCATCAGGGGCCCGGTAGACGCCCGCGACACACGCCGTCCGGCGCCTCTTCCCCAGCGGGCCTTCCACTGACATCCGCTTGGCGCCCTGCCTGTCGAAGAGCTTCGTCAGCGACATGGCTCCTGTCGGCGCCCATCCAGGGGAGGGGGCCTGAGGTGCAGCGTCGGGGGGCGGACAGGGTCAGGAGGGGGAAACCTCGCGCGTGAAGCTGCGATGCGTCGGTGAGGGATCGGCGACGTGCCCCCCGGCAGCGCATCCGCGCGGTCCTGGGCGGGGAGGGCTGCCGAGCCCCATCGGCGATCAGTGGGCGGTTTGGGGCCGAGGCACCGCCCCCCGCGGAGGGCCCGCCACCCCCCTCACGCTTCCCCTCGACCTTCGGGCCACAGCTCGGCCCTCTGGCGGCCGCTCGGGACGAGCCAGGCCCCCCCGGAACGCCCGCGGCGAGGCGCGGCTGCCGGAGAGAGCACCCCCGGGGGCTGGAAAGCCGCCGGGAACCAGCGAAGCCGCCCGGAAACTTCGAGGCGCGAGTCCGAGGAAGTAGCCCCGCCCTGAGACCGTGCCTCCCCCCTGTGGCGTTGCCCCTGAGCGCCCCGCGCGGCGGGGGCAACGACGCGGCAGGAGCCCGCCTGCCATGACCGCGGTCTTCCGCCCTTGCAGAGCCTGGACCACCGCCACCCCCAGGGCGCGGGCACGACCCGCAGGATCGCCAGGCTTCACAGTGGGACTCGTCGGACCTCCGTCCTGGAAGCGCTTGTGCTCTCCACTCGGAGTACCATCTGAATACCCTGAGCCTGCTCCGGCACATCCCGAAGATCTTCACGCTCTGAGGGCGTCCCGGCCGCGCGGGGGCCGTTTCCTCCCGTCCCTCCTGCCCTTCTGCTGCCTCGGTGCCCAGCTCGAGCTCTACAGCAGCTCTGTCAGTGCTTGACCGCGACTCGGTCCCGAGAAACCGCGGACCAAAAAGTGTTCTCCATTCCCGAAGTCTTGTGTCTTCCAAACTCCTTCCAAGATGGAAGTTCGACATCCGATCATGTTCTTCCCCGATTAGGCTTGCCTAGGGGGTTCGTGCTTGGTTAAAGGTTGATGCCTCGAGGGGCTACTTTGCCCGTTGCTCGGAGGTTCCTCGGGTCACTCTGGTTCCCCGCTCCCGGTGCCTCGGATTCCCAGGTCCCCCGGATTCTGAAACATCCTGGGGCCTAGGGATTTCAAAAAATCCAAAAGTTTCTTACCCAGGGATTTCAACGCATGGAAACGTAATCATTCAAGGTGTGCGTTCTTCAAAACAAATCTACAAAGTTGCCAGAGCTCATAAACTTTTGGAAATCCTAGGCTCCAAGATCAAATAATTATCCCAAATCCTGGGGCCCAAGGTTTTCAAATGTCCCAAAAGTTCTAGAATACTTTAAGCCGTAAACCTTCGAATAGGCTGTTCAAAATATTAGTTGCTCAAAATTCCTGAAACTTCTGATATAATGGATTCCCAGTTCCCCAAGACTCTCCGAAACCCTGGGGCCCATGGGTTTTAACAGTTGTTCGAAAGCTAGACCTTTATGAAACGCTTCAATCTTTTGGGGTGTCCAGAAGTTTTGAAAGTTTGAGAAGTTGGAGAATTTCTGAAACTGGTGAAAGACTGGACTATCAGGTCCCTAAGAATCTCCGAAATCCTGGGGCCCAGGAGTGTCAGAAATTCAATCAGTTTCAAATGCTCTAACACCTTCAAAACTTGCAGGGTGCTTCAGATCCAAAACTTGTGACGCTTCTGACATCCTGGATTCACAGGCCCCCTGGGTTTCCGAGTTTCTTGGTGGCGGTTGGGGGAAACGAGCAAGTACAGGAGCGATAGCAGCAGCAGCAGCAGCAGCAGCAGCAGCAGCAGCAGCAGCGGCAGCAGCGGCAGCAGCGACAGGCGAGCAGTAACAGCAACAGCCCCAACGATGATATCCAGTCTTAGTCGTACATTCCCCTCCCTCCCTCCCTCCCTGGCCGTCCGTTCTGGCCGACCCCGAAGACGTGCTGCAGCTGCTCGAAGTTGAGGACAGGCGGCTCCTTCATCGCCAGCCACTTGTTGTAGCACTTGACCCAGAATGACAACCTCTGCCCCCCGCTCATGGCGCGAGGAGGCTACGGAAGGGGTTGTGGAATAGAAGGGGGAGGAGGATGAGGAGGAGGAGGAGGAGGAGGAGGAGGAGGAGGAGGAGGAGGAGAGGAGGAGGAGGAGGAGGAGGAGGAGAGGAGGAGGAAGAGGAGGAGGAGGAGGAGGAGGAGGAGGCAGGAGGAGGAGAAGTCAGGAGGAGGAGGAGGGGGGGAGGAGGAGGAGGAGGAGGAGGAGGAGGAGGAGGAGGAGGAGGAAAAGATGAGGAGGAGAAGGAGAAAAGATGAGGAGAGGACCAGCAGGAGGACGAGGAGGAGGGAGGAGTAGGAGGAGTAGTAGGAGGAGGAGGAGAAAGAGGAGGAGGAGGAGGAGAAGGAGGATCAGCAGGAGGATCAGCAGGAGGACGAGGAGGAGGAGGAGGAGGAGGAGGAAGACGAAGAGGGGGAGGAGGAGGAGGAGGAGGAGGAGGAGGAGGAGGAGGAGGAGCAGCAGCAGGAGGAGGACGAGGAGGAGGAGGAAGAGGAAGAGGAGGAGGGGGGAGGAGCAGGAGGAGGAGGAGGAGCAGGAGGAGCACATCATTATATGTATATGTATATATACACTAGGACAATCGCGCGCTTCGCGCGCGCTCAAGTTCTACCTAGGCATGATCATCGTCATCATTGTCATCCTCATCCCCGTCATCTTCATCGTCATCGTCATGCTCATGTTCACCTTCACCATCACAACAAACATCATTATCACCAGTATCATCATCATCGTGATCACCATCGCCATCATCGTTATCGTACTGTTTACCACCATCCGTATCATCAAGATATGGTTGGTCGTCGTCAGCATCGTCGTTGGCATAGTCATCGTCATCATCATCATCAGCGTCATCGCCGTCATCACCCCCGGTCCACTGCAGTCCCCTTCCCCTCCTCCTCCTCCTCCTCCCGATCTCCCTCTTCCCATCATCTTATACTCGTCCTTTTCCTCGTCTGCGTCTCCCTGAACGACATCCCTGTTCCTTCACCTTCTCCTCCTCCTTCTCCTCCTCTTCCTCCTCCTTCTCCTCCTCCTCCTCCGTCTTCCCCGCTCTTCGGTGTGTCCCTCCATGTGTTCCTTCACCTACTTCACCTCCTTCCTCCTCTCGAGCCCTCTTCATCCTGCGCTCCCCTTCTTCTCGTCCTCAGCATCCCTCCCCGAGCCAGAGAATCAGAGAACTAGATAATCTTACAAGAACAGAGTCCCTCCTCCTCTTCCCGCTCCTCTTCCCTCTCTTCGTCCTCCTGATCTTCCTCCCTCTCCTCCTCCTCCTCCGCCTCCTCCTCCTCCTCCTCCTCATCCTCCTGCTCCTCCTCCTTCTCCTCCTACTCCTCCTGCTCCTCCTCCTCTCCTCCTCCCCCCCCTCCTCCTCCTCCTCCTCCTCTCCTCCTCCTCCTCCTCCTCCCTCCTCCTCCTCCTCCTCCTCCTCCTCCTCCTCCTCCTCCTCCTCCTCCTCCTCCTCCTCCTCCTCCTCCTCTCCTCCTCCTCCTCCTCCTCCTCCCCTCCTCCTCCCTCCTCCCCCACCTCCTCCTCCTCCTCCTCTCCTCATCCTCCTCCTCCTCCTCCTCCTCCTCCTCCTCCTCCTCCTCCTCCTCCTCCTCCTGGTGACACGGATGATGGCATTCGGCCCATCCCGCGCCTGGGTTGGGGATTAACGGCCTCTCGAGTGGCTGCTGGGGTCTCGGAACCTGCAGGGAGCCTCTTGGAGGCAATTGTGAACCTTGTAGGGGTCTCTTGGGGGCCGTTTGGGAGCCTCTTGGGGGCTTTTGAACTCTCTTGGGCTCGTTTGGGTGTCGTTTAGGGATCTTGGGAACTCTTGAGGGCCTCCTGGGGGCATGTGTTGGTCTCTTGGGCGCCTCTTGGGAGCCTCCTAGGGGTCTTGGGGATCCTCTTGGGGCGGGAGGCTCGAACTTACAGTTCGAACGCCCCGTCTTGGGCCCGTGCTGGGGCCCACTTGGGGCGTTATTGGGCGCATCTGGGGCCGTCCTGAAACTCTCTTTGGCCGTTTTTGGGCACTCCTGGGTGCCTCTTGGGCCGTCTTGAAGCGATCTTGGGGGCCTCTTGGGCCGTCGTTGTCCATACGAAGGCCAACAAATGGACATGCGAAAAACGCTCGCTTCCCAATAGGAATGAGCCGATGTGTGCCTCTTAGGGCCCTGTTGGGGGTCCTCTTGCAGCCATCTTGGCCCGTCGGCAGACATCGTGGCCCGTCTGAACATACATCTGGAAGTTATAGGGGGGGCTGCGGGAAGCTCTAGGGAGGCTCCGGGGGTGCTCCAGGAGCCGAGGGGGCACTTAGTGTACCCTGGGTGCCCCTGGTGTGCTGGGGCCTGGGTCCCCCGGGGCCCCGTTTCCGGAATATGATATATCATAGATCACACATATATATATGATATATATGAATATATATATGTGTAGAGAGAGAGAGAGAGAAAAAAAAAACATCGACGGAGACAGAAACAGAGACACACAGAATATATATATATATAGAGAGAGAGAGAGAAACGAGCAACTACATAAATAACCAGGTAAAGAGAGAGAGAGAGAGAGAGAGAAAAAATGATAGAGATAGAGAGAGAGAGAGAAACGAGCAACTACATAAATAACTAGGTAAAGAGAGAGAGAGAGAGAAAACAAAAAAAAAAAGGAGAGAGAGAAAGGAGAGAGAGAGAGAGAGAGAGACGACGGCGTCGGCGACGACGACGGGTCGGAGCAAGGACGAGGAGAGCAGGGACAGGTCGGAGTCGGCAGCGCGCCGCGCGAGCGCGCGGCCCCCCCGCATGTGCTGCACGTGCAGGAGGCCCCCCGGAGGCCGAGCGCGGCCAGGGCACTCCTCCTTCACGGAAGCCTTCCAGTCGGGGTCAGAAGCCCCCCTCGCTGGGAGGGGCAGGAGGAGGAGGAGAAGGAGGAGGAGGACAAGGAGGAGGAGGAGGAGGAGGAGGAGGAGGAGGAGGAGGAGGAGCGCGTTTCTTTACTTTCGGCGATCATGGGATGGGCATTATAGGGGGGGGGGGAGAGGGCCAGGGGGGGGGTATAATGTAACTAACGCCTCCCCCCCTGCAGTGCGCGCAGCGGCAGTGCCCGGAGCGCACTGGGGGGGGGGGCCTTGCGTCATAGGGGGGGAGGGGGGGAGGGGGGGCCGTGGGCTATGATGCCCATTATGCCCCAAGCAATGAAGAAACACGCTCTATCTTTAGATGGGGCATGTCCTCCTACAGGCGGGTTGTAAATTACTCCAAAAATAGCAAACAAATGATCGAAACATCGTCCCCAGACTAGTTTTTGACTATGTTTGAATTTTCCTCCTGTAGAGGGACGTGCCCGACTTAAGAGTAGCTGGGGTCGGAGGGTGGCGCCCATCGTCCATGCATCACCGCCGACACATCGGCGACGTCGGCGTGGAGAGCATCGGGCTCCACGTCGAGCCGCATCGCCGATGCATCGGCGATGCGGCGCGACCCTCCAACCCCACCTACCCTGCTCCGACCCCATCTGGGAGACGTAGGCTTCACTCCTCTCCTCCCCCCCTCCCCCCCGTGGCACTACAGCGGGCTCGTGCCGTAACAACTTATGGGCTGGCTGCTGGCACAGCGTGGATCGTTCAACGTTGAGACAACAAGGCGGATTGCTCAAGATTGGCCGTCTCCGGGCCAACGGCGGCGCTCGACCTCGAACTTCCGTGCCGGGGACGCCGAAGCGTCGACGCTGCACGAAACTTCATGTCATGCCTCCCCCTCGAAGCGAAAGTCGAAAAAGTCGCCACCCCCCAACTCCCACATCCTGCCGCGTGCCCTCCTCCTCATCCTCCTCCGCTCGCCCTTGTCCCTTTCGCATTCCCCCCCTCGCCGCCTCCCCTCCACGTCCTCCTCCACGTCCTCCTCCTCGTCCTCCTCGTCCTCCTCCTCGTCCTCGTCTTCCTCCTCCTCCTCCTCCTCCTCCTCCTCCTCCTCCTCCTGCTCCTCCTCCTCCTCCTCCTCCTCCTCCGCCTCCTCCTCCTCCTCCTCTCTCCGCCTCCTCTCGTCTCCTCCTCTCCTCCTCCTCGCTACTCCTCCTCTCCTCCTCCTCCTCCTCCCACCTCCTCCTCCTCCTCCTCCTCCTCCTCCTCCTCCTCCTCCTCCTCCCCTCCTCCTCTCCTCTCCTCCTCCTCCTCCTCCTCCTCCTCCCCTCGCCGCGCGCCCTCCTCCTCGTCCTCCTCCCCTCACCCTTTGTCCCTCCCGTACTCCTCCCCTCGCCGCCTCCCTCCCTCCCTTCGCTGGACCGGTCTCCGCCGTTCCAGGGTTGGGGAGGGGATGATGAGGAGGAGGAGGAGGAGGAGGAGGAGGAGGAGGAGGAGGAGGAAGAAGAGGAGGGGGGAGCGAGGTGGAGGAGCTCGCAGTGCTCTCGAGTGCTGGCCAGAGGGCGCCACAGTGACCTGCTCTTGAGGAATTGGGAGGGGAGCACATGCCCACCCTGCGCAAACTCCCGCTCATCCAGCCTTCGGTGGCAACTCGTGTGTGCCTCCCATACCATCTTGTCGGCTCTAACGAATCGACGCTAAATCGACGCTACAATCGACGCTGAATCGACGCGCAGGATCGACGCTAGCCGACGCTACATCGGCGCTATCTCATCGACTCCCAGACGCTAATCGACACCAGTCGACGCTAAAGACATCATTGCGAGGATACGCAAGGCTCCCATGATTTGCTACCGAAGGACACCTGTGGGGAACCGACCGAAAACCTTCGACCTCGAACCTCCCCCCCTTCGAGTATAGGGCATCGACTTGCAGAGCCGACTGGCCCCAAGATTGCTTATTTCCCCTGCCGACCCCACGCCAAAGACAGAACTGCGAGGGCACACGAGGCTCCCATGAGATTTGCTGCCCAACCCCACCCACATTTGAGCAGGGTCCGGTCGTCCAAGCATTTCTAAAGGCCTACCACGACAT